GTCATGAATATAAACATCTATAATCAGTGTCACTTTTAAGGCCAAGTCCATTTTCTTATTATTTTTTATTTCTCTCTTCTCATTTTTCCCATTCTTCATATCTGTAATTAGCATCGATGTCAGCAGATTTTTTTAATGTTGGTGTCACTGTCATTATTAATGGGAACCATCACCTACAATTAAAGACAGAGTCCCTTGCCCTTAAGCCAAGATGTCTCTACCCCAATCCTCAGTGCTTCAGTGTGTGGTTCATGCAATAATCTTTCCCACTGGGGACTGTGGTGGTACAGACAGTGAAACATCTGGGCCACAAGATCACACTCTTTTTTCCTCCTGCTCAGGCAGTGGAAAACTGATGGTAGCAGAATAAAAATGAAGCAAGTCAATATTTGCAGAGACATTCCTGAGTGTTCAGCACTGCTAGAAGCTCTAATGATTGCTTTCTAAATCTCATGCCACTTCCATAGGTAGAGGTTACTATCATCCTCTTTTACAGGTGAGGGAGTTGCACCTACTAACTTGCCTGAGTGCTGAGCTAGAAAGGGGAGAATGAGAAAGTGAATCAAGATATCTCCACCCCAAACCCTAACCTAATGTGCTAGAGAGCCTGATCAGAACAAGAGACTCACAATCCAAAGTATGCAGGTGGCCAAGAGTGCAGGACCCAAGGAGATGAAGCTCTGAATCCTGAGAAGTGGGAGTTTGGCAAGGGAGATAATGAGGATCAAAGATTAGGAGTGAAAGGGGAATATTGGATCAATACCTCACCATCCACTATCAGAATGAAAGACAATGGATGAGCTCAGAGTCTGTTAGCTGGAGTTAAGTGGAGGGAAAAGAGTCATGGGAATAAGGGATTTACTGGAGTAATTAGAATTTCCATAATGTGAGAGGAGCAAGTGAAGGAATGATCTGGAAAGGGGAGTTGGAGCATAGTCATTGCCCTTAGGAAGCACTGACTTGGGGATGGGTTACGGGGACAAGACAAAGCTTTCAGGGAAACCGGCAAGGCCTAGCACTGCCAGCTTCTGAATCAGGGCTGCAAAAGGAGCTCCTGGAGGTCCTAGAAGAGGACTTTCCAATGAAAGAGTAGTTGGTCATCAAAAGAGTATAAAAACCCTCAGAAAGCCACCAATGGTATCTCTTTAGGACCCCTCCCCTGCTGTGGGAGCTTTTCTTGCTTGCCTCTGAAAAACCTTCTGCTGAATTCTCCCCTTCCATTATCTGTGTATTTCATTCTTCAGATGCATGAAACACGATCCCTCTAGCACTCAATGACCCTGTGTTATAGAAACTTTTTATAGAGAGAAAACTTCTTAGATTGATACTTGATTTTACTCACCTCTAACATGTTTCCTTGTCAGTGTGAAAACTCATGCCACACTTTCAGTGGTAGAGATCCTTCTTGTACTATAAGGATTGAAGACTTAAAATCCTGACAGTCAAAAGAGGAAGATGTGATTGCAATTGTTGCTTTCCAAAATATTTGATGCAATGGAGTGATCCTGTTCAACTTCTGATAAAGCCAAATATCCCAGTTCCTGTTGATCCCCTAACTTAGGTGACCTCATATGAAGGCTTCTCTATTTGACCCACAAGGTAACAAATCTTAAAACACACAAAGAAAAAGGTTCTTCCCTAGTTCCTTGTGAGTCAGAAAGACCATCAGCTTTTAAATTAAACCCCGTGTTAGTGTCAAAAGCTCTCTTCCAAGTGATACCACAAGCATGACAGAAGGATCCTTGGATTGGAAGTTCAGGCATCCACTGCCTCTTGTCCTGTTTCTGATATAAATTAGTTACTTTGTTCCTATAGAATCTGTTTTGTAATGTTTGAAATGAGTCATCTAAAGAATTTCTCTCTTTTTCCTTTTTTATTTTTTTTTGTCGTGGAAGTCTAATACAGCCGACACCCTCACAGGCTCAATAAACACAGTCTGAAGAAAACATTATGCAACTCTCTAAATCTTCATCTACTGCCAATCTGTCTACCAGCCACAGCCTCTAAAATCTTCACACACATGGAATCCCATGCTTTGGCATTCTTTTTACCTAAGAGAAGTGAATGACTTTTAAGGTTGAATACTTCCTTGTAAGGCATTTTATCAAGATCCCAGGACTCCTAACAGTAATTATTAATAGCCCTTTCAAGTCCTCAGTAATTATCCACGTTGCCTATGACATAGTGTTCCATTTGAATACCAGTGATAACCTCCTGGGTCAATAGTGTTGGTGACATTAGATATTCTCTAAAAGAAGATTCTGAGGGCCATAGGAATTAAATGAGTTAGCCAATACCATCAGGATGCTCATCAGTAACTAGATGTCAGGCCTCCAGACTCATAGTATTAGGTTATCCTTTTGCTATAATTTGCTATTATATATTTTTAGAATATGTCTATCAAGGAGCAATCATTTTGGAGGCACAAATATTATATAGATAATTAGGAAGAAAATTTACAATGCAGAGGTGTTTGGTTGCTGTTCCCTCAAGCAAGCTGGTGGCCAGTGTTAACTGACCACATTAACAATATGGTCAGCTTGTGTCAATAAAAACACAATTATGTCACAATATCTTGCTAAGAACTGCAAGTTAAATAAGTTTATATTGTGCTATGATCTGAAAAAGAGGTACAAAATATAAATGCCTTCAAGGACCAACCAAGAACCTTCAATTATTTAAGTGGGCCTACTGTAAAACAACAGGAAGAAGCACTCTAGGGAAATATTCTACCTGCCCTTCACTGAGCTCTATCCTATCTTTGCCATATGAGAATGAAGGCCTGGTATTTCCAGATCTTCTAATATTTCCAGAGATATTGGAAGCATATGTGAAATGTCCTGATTTTTAAATATAGGAAGTAAATTCAATTTTGTATGCTATGCTATACAGGATAAAACAAAAAGAAATACCTCACTCTCCATGTTGATAGGTTATATTAAGTCATCAGCTGTATTTACAGCTTCTAGGAAATACTAATGTTAATATAAGAAAATTATTTGATTTATTAGTCCCTGATTTCCAGGATAGTGTAATAAAGAAAAAAAAAAGTTCTGGGGAATTAGAATCAAATGAAAGTAGAAAGTTCATTTTAAGTAAAATATGCCAGACTCAGAAAGTCAAGGGCCAAATGTTTTCTCTCATGTGTGGAAGCTAAAGAGAGAGAGAGAAAAAAAAAAGGAATAAATAATGGATCTCAAGAAAACAAAAGCATACCGAAAATGGATCAAGAGTGAAGAAGGCAAGGAGAGAAAGAGTAGGTACTTGGAAATTAAATTGACCTAATTATGTTATATCTCTATATAAATATACCACAGTGAATCCCATAGAGATCAGTAGAGTAGAAGAAAGGAATCAGGAGAAGGGAGGAGGGGAGGTACTGGAGGATGACATGGATCAAATTATGTTATGCACATGCATAAATATGTCACAATGAGTCCAAGGGTATGAAAACCAAAGTGCTAAAAGAAATGTTTGACTAAATTCCTATCCCTCAAGCCCATGATTCAGCCATGCAGAGTCCTTTGTAGTTGTTGAATAAACCACGTGCTGTCCCTGCCAGGCCTCTGCACAAGCTGGCCACATGCCTGGAGAGCCTCTATTCCTGTCTTCTCTTACATCAGTCATCTTCTCCTCAAACTCCAGAGCCCAGATCAAGCCTCCTCTGTTCCAGGCACTAGCTGGCAGCTTCACAGTTTAATCCTGTACTTTTTCAGCATTAAGCTCCATGGTTTATACTCGCCCAGTACTATGCTTTATTTATCCTTTTTCTTGCATTTCTTAATAAGCATCCAGAAGCTACTTAAAGGTAAAACGTCTGTTTTGTTAATGTTTACAGTCTTGACTTTTGAAACACTGTGTGGCACATAGTGAACAATATTTTTAAATAAATGTATGCTAAATTGTAATGTAATAAAGATATACATTATTTTCAGGTAATAGATCCTCCTGAGAATAGTCTCAAATTAAAAACTAAAAGTGGATCCTTTTCCTTTATTCCTGATTTTAAAATAGATCTATTGCCTGCCATCTTTGAATACAGCTACCTTTGACCATGAGCAAAAAAGGCTAAGAGCATTGCAGAGATGTCCAACCTGATATCTTTGCCATGGAACTAGATCTATCACTCAATAATGTATGGACTTATTGTTTAAGAAAATGAAGTGTTGTTGTTGTTGTTTTTTAATTCTAAGTTAAAGTACTTTAAATAGGGATGACATTTACTTGAGAAAAGAGTATGTTTTCAGAGAAGAGATCTGTTCTGCTAAAATTGAATAAAAGTTATCATACCACATATGAATTGATAAAGGTGAGAGGAAAAAACTGGATGTAATAAATTACTATTATTATTATTATTCCTATTTACCAAACAAATGTACATATAAACAAAGTCACTCACTAAATTCAAGGGTATTTTATTTCCATTGAAAAATAGGCAAACTTCAGAAACCAAAGGATTTGTACGTAACACAAAGAATTGGTAATGCAGGCCACAAAACAATAAGAAAAAAAATCTATAAAATTACTACAATAATTTCTTCAGGGGACTATGATGAACCTGCATGGTTACTTTAGTGCCATTGACTACAAAGTTTTAATAAAATATATTTAAAGTGAACATCAGCACATTTAAAAAATTTTTTTTAGTTGTAGATGAACACGATACCTTTATTTTATTTATTTTTATGTGGTGCTGAGGATGGAACCAGTGCCTCACACATGCTAGGTAAGCACTCTACCACTGAGCCACAATACAGCCCCAATATTAGCACATTTTTTTAATATGTCAACAACTTCATTTTATTAAGATGGCTTCATTCCAAGTTATATAGATCAAGTTTCAATAGAAATTGTAAATGAAAGACAACCTAAATAGAATTGGATTTTTCTGTTCTGTTGAGAATAACTTCAGTATAACTTGGACTGACATATTGATTCACATACATAATTAAGAAAAACACAAATGAAACAAACACCGAAATGTATTTCTAGGAGAGTACTAGAATGAATGAAAAGCTTTATTCAAAGAGTCAGACAGAGAAGGACACACCACTGACTCCACCTTCTGTCTCAAGCCCCTGGATCTTGAGGAACTGGCTTCCAGTCTTCATCTGAAGCCAAAGGACCAGTCAGGATAATCCGAGGTACCTTTGAGATGATGAGAACAGATGATGTTGGTTAACAAATGGCATGGAGGGATTTCAAAAAGAAGGAGGCTAATGGGGAAAAGATGAGCCAACTACTCATGGAATCGAGTAGTCAAAGGCAGGTACAAATAAAATATTTTAAGCAGTAGAATGGGAAAATAAAGATAATATCTCCAATTGGGGGCTGGGGTTGTGGCTCAGTGGTAGAGCATTTGCCTAGCATGCATGGGGCACTGGGTTCGATCCTCAGCACCACATAAATATAAAATAAAGATATTGTGTCCACCTGGAACTAAAAAATAAATATTTAAAAAAATCTCCAACTGGGGATAGTAAGCCAAAACAACATTAAACACTTTAAGAATATCATTCCAACTTTAATATTTTATTAATAATATATAACATACGTATTATTTTATGTATCAGATGGTAATAAGTACTGGAATCAAAAGGTTTGCCTGTACATCAAAAGGCTGCATTATAACTTGAATAGATGTTGATAAACTCTAGAGGAATCTCAAAGTGCTCAGTGCCAAAACATTTTTTCTTTCAAACTATTTAACAGCCACTAAAGTGAAATTACTTGCAAAATGGTTTAATCAAAATCCCAAATGCTAATGGATGAATGTGCTATTTGCAAGCATCATTTAGTAGGCAGATTTCACCAAAATGAAATCCTCATTAATTTTATGTTATGAAATACAGATGAGAACCAGAAAAAGCCAGAGGACAGATATTCAAATCTTTGCCAAAAACTCTCTTCAAATTTAGCTATCATATGGCTGCTATACACCACTAGAACTCACAGTAAAAAGAAAAATCCCCATTCGTGATGCCAGGTTAGCATAAAATTTTAAATCTGCAAAGAGTGAGAACCATAGGTCATGCTGGGTAGGCAGTCCCTGCACTCTGAGGTTTTACTATCTCATAGTGAAATGTGCACTTGGACACTCTGTGTACCTGCAACTTTATTCATACAGAACTGTATAACAGATTAGAATCATAAATACCTATGAGAACAAGGAATGGACAGATGTAACCAAATCTGCTTGAGAAGATTCAGTGAATCAGGCTCAAAAACATGGAAGCAAGTGTTTCTTATACTTCCTCACACAGGACATGGCCAAATGTTCAAAGTCAAAGCTTGGTGGATGGTTATTGTTCTTGGTGCCCATGTACAATTTAAGCCCTTAGTTTTGAAAAAAGATACCAGGGTTACTGATTATCCTGATGATAGGAAGCATTGTGTAAAGCAAAATTAATGTTTCTTTTGTAAAATATGCAGTATTAAATAATGGGAAATGTACTCATTTAATCTAATTTCTAACTTCACAAAATCAGAGCAGCCACTGCGCAAGATACTATGTCTTGTAAAAAAGAATGAAGAAATTCTCTTTGAACTGATGCAGAATAGAGGCCAAGAGATCTTGTAAAGTGAAAAAATGAAGCACCAAAGATCATATACAGTCCTGTTATCTTTGTTAAAGAAACAAAGAGGGGGACATAAGAAAGCATATACATCTGCTTATCTTCACAAAATAGATTACACAGAAAAGAAAAACCAGAAACAATAATGTCAGTCACCTCCATGGGTGGAGCTGAAGAGAGAGTAGAGGCTATGGAGAAGGGAGACACTTCTCTAAGAGGACTTTACACATATTACCAAAAGCTAAATAAAAAGGATGAGAAGAAACTGAAAAAATTAACCCAAATTCATGCCAAATAAATATCGTAATTATAGTGGAGGGCCAAAAAAAATATAAACAAAAGCCAAACAAATTTTTTTAAAAGCCCTAATTAGAGTGACTTATAAACAGATTTGACTTCATGCCCTACAAGCCCTCAGTCTTGGACAGGGTAGAAAGGTGGGAGAACTGGAAACTGGAGCTTCTGAATAGTTATAGATAGGTTTTTTGTTTGGTTTTGCTTTTTTTTTTTTTGTAAGAGTAAATATGGGTAAAGCCATTCTGAAGTTAATTTAGATGTATTTTGGGGTTGAGTAAATAAATACGTGTGCTGATGTCTTTAGAAATCAGGATTATGACTGTGAAAGAAGACACAAGCAAATATGCAATGAGAGAAGGCAATGAAGATGAATTGGAATTGGAGGTATTAGAGTGGAGTCACAGTGTCTCAGATATGTACATGTACATACATGGATATAGAAATGTTTATATGTGCATAGACCTAAAAGATTTACTGTGTTATGTGTGTACATGTGCGTGCTTATTTGTGGGTTGTGTATACATATGTGTATTTATATATACATATATAGTTAGGTATGTATATGTATACATTTCTTGACTCTGTCTACCAAAAAGGTCTAGAAAGAGACATTCCACGAGCAATGAGCACAGCCTGTACATGGATCTTAATCTCTAATATCATTCTTCACCAAAAAGAACCAGAGACCTTGGAGAAGTGGCTGAAAGTAGAGCCTGGGAAGGGTAACTACAGATGAGTCCAGAACATTTTGCTAAACCAGAAGGTAAGGATGTGCTCAAAATAGTAACAGATGTATGCACAGAGCCAGCTTGAAGGGACTCTTGCAAGTCAAACCTAGGATAATCTAAAGCACTAAAATAAAAAAGAATAATAATTTTAGACCATTTGGAGTGTGATAGAAAAGCAGAACTCTTTAATTTTATACAGATAATACATACTACTATTATCTGAATGTCTGTGTTTCCCAAAATTCCTATATTGAAACCCCCTAAGATGATGGTTTAAAAGGTGAGCCTCTTGAGAGATGATTAGGTTGTGAGACCTCTGCTTTAATGAAAGGTATTAGGGCATTTATGAAGGAACCAAGGGAGCTTGTTCATCCATTCTACCATAAGAGGACACAGAGAAGGCACCATGTATAAGCTAAGGGTCCACAAGACACAAACTCTGCTGGCTCCTTGATCTTGGACTTCCCAGCCTCCAGAATGTAAGCAAAAAGTTTCTATTATTTTGAAATTACCCAGTCTAAAGCAATTTGTTATAGCAACTGAACAGACTCAGACACGTATACCCATAAGGAGAAGGGGCAGTTCCCCAGTTAGAAAGTCACATGCTGACTGGCACTCATGGAGGGAATACTGATGTGGGTTCTCCTTGTTGTTGCATCACAATAAGGATTGGTTGGGGCAAGAATCAATGGATGCAAATCTAAGGGGAAATTTTAATGAAGAGCAGAATATCTGCATGATCTTAAAAGGTCTCTTCCCAAACTGCTTACAAGTATTTTGCAAAGGAGAAAATAACTATTTTCAATTGAAAAAATGGGACAATATTTTTGCATGGTGAAAACTGATGTAAATGAGGGGTAGACGGGCATCATTTGCCTCCAAACAAATTGAGAAATACACAGATACAGTCTTCTGTCCAGAAATGTATAACCTGAATCCAATCATGAGGAAACATCAGACAAAATGAGGAGATTTCTATTTTTAAAAAGTGGGAGACTGTATCTTCAAAACTGTTAATATCATTAAAAAAATGGAAAAGTTTATGGAATTGTTTCAGAAATTAAAGAGACATGATGATTAAGTGCAATACCTGACCCTAGACTGGATCCTGTACTGGAAGACAAAGAAGCTGTTATGATCATTTTTGTCACAATAGAAAATTGAAATGCAAATTGGATGAAAATATCAATGTTATATTTACTGACATTGACAACTGCCCTAAAGTTATGTAAGAGAACATAACTATATATAAACTATATATATATATATATGAACTATTTAAGAATAAAAGGCCATAAGTGAAATTTATTGTTAATGCTTAAGTACAAACAAAATATCACATTTGCATATACATTATTGTGCATTTGTATATGTGAACATACATCATGCATGTGTATGTGCATGAGAGAGAAAGGAGAGTGCACACATGGTCTGGCAACTTTAGTAAAGCGTTAACAATATGTGAGTCCTGGTGAAAGGTCAGCTGCTGTTCTAACCCTATTCTTATTCAAGTAATTTCTATGAGTTTAAAACTACTTCTAAATAAATAGTCAAAAAATATAGAACTCCAAGAATTGTTTGAGGCCTTCCTTACCCATAAATCTTAGGATGCAGAAAACATAAAATAATAGTCTACAGGAAAATAAACATTTGCTTCTTAAAAATGTTGATTTCTCAGTTGGCTCTTCGAAATGTAGGTAGAATGAACAGAAGGAAGACTTTCGTATATTCCCTTAGATTAGAAGATGAATCAGAATATCAGGGGTGGCAAAATGAAAGTTAATGCAATGAGTTCTCCCACTGACCCATAGGGAGGGAAAGAGAAAGTACTAACATCACTGAAGCTGTCAGAACTCATAGTTCAGACTCCAGAGCACCCAGTTCTCCAGGAAAAAAAAAATCACTCTTCTAAAGGATCACGTTCATACAAAGCTTCTTCTTCTCACATATCAGTCTCTGACAACTGAGCCCAGGATAGGGGTGTGCCTGTAGGCATATTCCCCCCCCCCCTCTTTACTTAATTGCTGTGAAAAGACTCAAAAATATCTGACAAACAGATTCCAAAGGAGATGGCAAATCAAGAGGACTAAGTTCTCTTGACGATTTTCTTAATGACTGCTCTGGACATTAGGGTTATACATCTAAGAAAAAAAATTAAGAAACTTGATTGAAGCTTTATGATAAAATGAGAACATGCTCGATGGGAATTTAAAGCTGAGCACTGATGCTCAAGGCATAAATAAATGAAAAACAATGAGAAGAAAAACTTCTCCAAACTGCCTTGGATATCCCCAGGTAATCTAGCAAGAACATTTTTCTGTGATTTGATCATTGCTAAATAATTTTGTCCTTTTTCTTCCTACTCTACTATCTTTTAGAGAGGATACAGCTGAACAATAACATTTATCTTAAGTAAAATACTGGCAGTTGAAATGTGGACTAAGTCCAATCAAGAACTCTCTATAACATTCCACTAGTACTTTTTAACTGAGCACTATAAAAAAAAAATCTTTCCTCCTTTCAGTAGATTAAAAAAAGAAACCATCCA